AGGCTCCCAGTCAAACCAACTACATTTAGTGCACTCTCTCAAACATAAATGGACAGAAATATTTTTCACGTAAAGTATATATTGCCAATAGTCATTTTTCAAAGCATTCAGAGGTCTCCTAAACTCCAAATAGAATTCTAAAGTAAATCTCTCTCAAATCAAGAAAGAAAAAAATATAGATTTGATTATATAAGTCCTACAATTTTATGTTACCTTGGAAAACCTAAAATATCTGTCTTCTATTCTTGCTGTTAGAAGAGATACAAGGAAAGTAGAGCTTTGGGTTTTTAACCTTGATATTTCAAAGAGTTAGATTCCAAGGAACCTTGCTCAAATTGCTTTAAATCTGACTGGAGAAAAAAAAAATTGCCAGCTCTAGACTTTACTACTGACTTCTAGAGACATCTAGACCTTATTAGAGCTGTAGTTAATTCTGGCAGTATTTCCCTACAATACTTCGCAAACTATATTTGCAGAATAAACTGCTAGCAGTAGTAGCAGCCAATTCTAATATCTAAAACCGATGTATACACAGTGACAACGGCTATTTCTAATAAAAAAAACATATATACGTTCTAGAATTATCCACAAAAACTACTGTTTTATGTTAACTCCACCAAATACATAAAATGCCATCAGAACTAAGAATGGAAAAAAAAAAGGTGCAATTCACAGCAAGCAGCGTAACTTCACTGTTGATACACTTTTCCATTCCCCAAATCCCACAGCAAGGTAAAAGGTGACCTTGTTCTGGATTTCTTTCTTTTTTTTTTTTTTTTTTTTTTTTGTCACAGCCTTAGTATTACCTCAGCATAGTTATTGTGCTGGGTCGATTGGAGAGAGATCTATTTATTTTTTTATAAAAGATATTTGGCAAAGTCAAATATACAAAAAAAAAATACAAATAAAAAGCTAAATTATACAAAATATTCCGTACTATTAGCAAGCCTCTTCCTTCTTGCTGTGTAGACTTTTATTAAAATCTAATAGTAGTACTGGTTAATGTGACAGTCAGGAGATACAAACTAAGTTATAAAAGAAATAAGTTTTTTTTTTATTTTTCCAAAGATACAAGTAGCTTAAAAGTAACAGAGGAATGATGAAAATTGCTGGGGGAAGCAGGGAGGGGTGGGATATTACAAGTATTTCTGGAAAAAAAAAATATTCAAATTGTTGAATAGTTAATTGGATTGTCAGTGTTACAGTCAATAAAACAATCCTTACAGAGGAAGTCTTTACATCAGCTGTATATTTTGTGTATTTCCCCCTATTTAGACCAAGTTCATGAGCATGTAAATAAAACTTTTCTTTAGCATTCAATATGTTTCTGTTCTCATGCTGGAGCTATGCACTAGCACACAGCACTAACACAGACACACACCAATAATAAGAAATTGAACTGGATTAGTCAGAAGCCAAAAATATGCATAACAAACTGCCCCAAAATAGGTTTTGTCCTGCTGGAATTCTCCCGGAGTGTTATGACTTCAAATGCAACAGTTGCAGAGCTCCAGCTGGAGGATAACTTCTTAAAAAGTCGTTAGACATCAGAGAGTGAGTCATTCTTTAGTGAACATTAATGATAAAAAGTTTCAGTGCCATTAGTGAAGTCGAACGTTAAACTTCTTCTAAACCATTAAACAGATGTTCCAGCCTTTATGTTAGCATGACTTTTTTCCTAATTGCCTCAATTATGTCCTACCAGGAGCTTGTCGTTCCTGCAACTCTGCACAGGACTCAACCTTTAGCCAAACTTCAGCCTAAACTTTTCTCAGCTCCTTCCACCTCAGCAGTTCCTTTTGTCAATTCCCTACCTCTGTTGCCCTCTAACAGCTACACTGTTAATGAAGGAACATCGCTGGAGGCAGCAGGGTCTTGCAAGAAGATGAGGAGGCAAGGCTACAGAAGCCGCGGCCACAGGGGAAGGAGGAATGGGTTGCTCTGGAGGGTCTGAGCACCAGAGCACAAAGTGGTGGGATGGGAAGAAACGCATTGTAGAAGGGACCTGATAGAACTCCACTTACCTTGCTTATACACCTAGCCAACAAATATAGATATATATATATATTTATATATAATATTATATATATAATATATGTAATATAATACAATATAATATTGTATAATATATAGTATATATAATATTATTATATTGTATACATATATATATACACATATAATGCTCTGGGAAGGAATTATTCATCAGCACAGATTAATGACTTGTCAGTTACTGAACAGTCTTAGGAATGAACTGCAATTAAGTCTTTTCTTCCCTTTACCCTTAAAGACCATTTGCTGCGCATCTTCCTGCCCCTTAAGAGGCCCACAAGGCCGCAGGTGAAACTAGCAGAGCTCTTTATTTTTAGCAGACATGACTGCAAATGGCTTCCAGCTGAAATGTTAGAAATGTTTCCAAGTAAAGTGACTTGATATGACTCATTTGCTAATGTCATAAGCCTGTGGCACAGAACATTTTAAAAAAGATAGTTTTGTCTAACTGCTTATTAAACAGTCAATTTTTATATTACAATGTTTTTGTTTTTCTTCTACATCTCAAATTATCTAATTTCTCAACAATTAAGCAGTTTGTTTTAATATGCTCCTGCTGATTTAAACAGGAAACAATGCAAGTAAAAGGGTATAATCTTTATTAGGTCAATGATAGTTTCAGTAGGTTGCAGTAAATTAAAAATTTCATTATACACAATTAAGCAACTTCATTAATATAATTGCAATTTTCCTCACTCTTCTGGCTTAGTATATTTAGCATATGCAAATAATTACATTGAGATATACAAGCGTGCATGCACATACATAGACTTTCCACTTACTATCCCTACATTGCTTGTAGGTAGAAATCAGTAAATGGCTTCTGAAAGCCAACTAAGAAACGAGAGATAAAAAAACAGCTTTCCACCAATAAAAGCTGCCCATCATGAGCAATAGCTAAGAACTACCCTTACAGCTGTGTTAAGTACAACATAAGGGCACATATAAGCACCATACTGGTTCATTACCTGTTCACTCACTTAAGGCAGAGCATATTTGTTTTCTAGCTACAGAGCCTGGACAAGGGTCATAACCTGGAACAAAAGCTTCAACACCACACAACAGTACAACATTGCTCAAGTAGTTGATAGAATGTTCCTCTCTTCTTTGAACCATGGAGTTTTACTTTGCCAAACATGGAGTGATGTTAGGAAACTGGCAAAATAAATAAATAATGTCCCAAAATGTTATGATTGTCTATCTTGCAGAAGGGAAGCAATTTTCAGCCAAGTAATTGGTACATTTTCTTAGTGCGTTATGTTTCTCAAAACATGTTACCGTAGGTGGAGATTAGCATCCCTTTTCTTCAAGAGGAAAATTACTTGTCTTCCATAGTGACTGGAGCTGTCATTCCAAGAGCTGACAAATGTTAACAGTCTCTGAAGATGTTCTTTACAAACATCTCAAAAATAAATAATATATTCAAATCAAGGATTCAGTGACCAAATGAAGGTTATAAATAGAAGGAAAATACCACAGTTCAAATATTAATATGCATCATATATCAATCCATTCCAACATACTAAAAATTATTATCACATTAACAACTGACACTGAACTTTGGCAGAGGAAGGACATAGAAATATTCCTTATCAACAAGAAGTTTTCTGTACTTCCCATTTTGCAGATAAAATCAAAGTAGAAATGAAACTAGACAATTCCTTTCCAACCATTAAATCTATTAGCCTCCGCAGGCAGATTAACAAACTCTTACATCTGCATTTAGAAAACTGTACAGATCTTTTTCTGTACATTATATTTTTGCTGTTCTTTGTCACATTCTCACAGTTCCTTGAAAGTGTTTCCAATTCTTGCAAAGAACAAAGAATACAGCTGAAGTGCATTATCCCACAGGCTGAAAGCAGATCCAAAAAGGCCAAACAAATCAGTTTGTTCAAATTAATTTTGTAAACCACGGTAACTGCAGTAACCTGTTTGAACTACAATGACAACAGCCCAAGACACCATCAATATTGTGTAACACAACATTTAGAATTTCAACAATAAAATTATCCTTATTCAAAAAAGTTACAGCACTACAACAATGCACAGAATATGAACATATACACAAACACTTTCCATTCTTCCTTTGGAAAAAAAAAATATTAATTCACAAAACAAGGTGCTTTACTGCAATTTTGACAGAGAAATTCTTTCTTTTATCCTTTCCATAGTATTTCAGAATATCTGCAATCATAATAATCATTTTCCAGAAAATCATAACTAACGCAAATGGTAAAGGGTCTCTCCTCCAGATGAGACTTTTGCTAAAACACAACTACCAACGTGTCACAAAACCTGTGTTAAAATTACAGTTATGCATTATATAGGATCATCTTCGGAAAACAATAGTCAGCACCACCAAATAATATTAAAAAAATAAAAATCAGTCAATATAACTGTAATGTAAAACCCAAGAAAAAGCAGGAAAGAAGGGAACAGACTGGGAGAGTCTCACTACATTTCTAAGAATTTTAATTTCTCACTCTCTCTTGAAAGTAAATGCTGACATAAACAAAGAACAACATTTTAATATTAAATAGACAAATAACAGAAACATGAATAAATCAGCCTTTCAACCATTTTAACCAAAGGACTATAATTAGCTCTTTCAAATGAACTAAGAAGCATATCACAGACTCGTCAATGCAATTAAAAAATTTCCTTCTTGGAAGAGATGAACCTTCTTTGTTCTGCTCAGAGTTTGAACCATATATTATGTTCATCGTTTGATGGGCTCTGCCTGACATGTAGCTCCATGTCTATAAACTCTAAACAAGCAGATTTAGGAGCAATTGGCAGAAAAACAGACTGTGGGAAAGAGGGGATGGAGGACTTAAAATATAGTGACTTCAGTCTTGTTACCAAGTTAGTATCTCAACAAAAAAGAGGACAAAGTAAGAGTACTGAGGGTGAACAGACAAGCAATGCTTTCCAGGGTCTAAGTATACCTGTTCTGTGTAGTTAAGGAACAAGATAATAGCTTCAAATCAAGAGCTGCAGAATACCCCCATTGGACATAAAACACGAATTCGGGTTTCCTTTGTACTTGCTTATCTTCTCCATTAGGAAACTTGAATTTCCCCCACCCTATTCAGTGCCTTATTTCAGAATTTTCTTTCAGTTACTGTGGAGACAGATGCAAATCAGAGCCCCTCATGCCACAGGTGGAAGAGACTTAAGGCAGGCTTTCATGAGTGAGCTGCACCTGCACCACCTTGGAAGCACATCTCATGTTTTACTTAGCCACAGAATAATTCAATGGGATCAGACTCCTAGCAAAAAAAGTAAGACATCAAAATTTTCTTCAGTTGATTGGATGAAACTAGGAGAACAACCTAGGCCATTTAAGACTCTGAAAGGTTTAAATGAAAGACTGATTATCATTTACTTCAGTTCATTACATAAAAGTTCATGGAATGGAGAAAGGAAGGAAGCATAGATACCTTCCTAATCAATGAAAGGTCATTATTTTCAGAGGGAAAAGTAATTCATGAAAAGATTAATACATATTGTAGAGAGTAATTACTTAACATAATATTCAATATTATATAGAGAACATATTCTGACATTATACAGGTACTGAAACCAGGAAAAATTCTGGCTGACTCTCTTAGAGACAAAATGTCACCTCCATACAGCCAAAAGTATTTGATAATTTATTTATTTATGAATTATTTCTTTAACCAGGACTGGGATTATTTGTTAGCTGAATGTGGTAGCGTTACCCTGCTGGGCAGCTGACTTTCCCCCACAGCTATGTTCTCACTTCCCCTCCTGAAAGGAAAGAGGGAGAAAATACAATGGAAAGGGCTCAAGGGTTGAGATAAGGACAGGGATATCACTCAATAACATCATGGGCAAAACTGACACAGCATAGGCAGATTAATATATTTTTTTTTGCCTATGACTAGCAGACTAGAACAGTGAGAAACTAAAAGCAAACTAAAAACACCTTCCCTTCCATCCACCCTTGCCCCCTCTTCTAACCTCCCCCCTCTCCCCCAGCATTGCAGGGGAATGGGGGCTTCTACCTAGCCCCCCCGCTACCAAGCCCTTACCACATAAACACAATACGCTGACTGAAGCCTGCATGATCGCAGGCACTGATTTGGTGCAATGCTTGTTATTAATGACTCTTTTTTTGAGCATGCAACTTGTTTGCAAATTGGAACAGCTTTTTGCCGTTACTGGTGGTGAGATGCCAATTTAATTTATATTGGAACAAGGAAGATGTGGGAGTAAGCCAAAGTTAAAACTTTCTGATACTAAACAGCAGGTTGCCTGATGTCTTTAGCATTAGCATTTAAGTTCACTGCAGCTTAACTCATTTTGTATCAGCTGGGATTTATGTCAAGCAGTAGGAAGGCAGGTCATCGTCTGGCTCTGTCTTAAAGAATTACCATCAAAAACACAGATTATTATAAGCAACTAATAAAAGCATAGTTAGGGGAATATTTCCAGAGCTATCAAAACCCATAATGGTCACTGTGATGCTAGAAATATTTTCTAAATGCTTCTATCATCAAGGTATACATTCTTGAAAATATTTTATTTTTCTCTCTTCTAATTGAACTGAACAATGCAGCACGATTTTATATACATACAAGCAGTATCAAGCCATGTGATTTGTTTTCTGTTAATACCATTCTGAAGTAAAATTTACAGTCCATTTATCTTTTTGTTCCCACCTTAGGCCAAGATGCTAAGAGTTATAAGAGGGCACCAACTGAAAATATTCACAAGGCCATTTTGTTAATTTAAGCAGAAGCTTTGTATGTACCATGTCTTCACATGGTGGTATTCAGAAGAAGGCACCATTTTTCATTCACAGTTTACCTCCCTGAAAACAGGCAATTCTGCTTTACAGAAACTGTAATTTATGTTTGAAAGACCAAGCTTGCTTCTTTCTTTGATATTATAAGCAACACAAAATACTATCTTACAACAAATTTTCACCACCATTTGATCAACTTGAGCAGTTCCTAGGATTTCTGGCCAGATCTCCCTTTCCATTTCATCTTCATTTTAGGGAGACTGGAAAGTTTCTTAAATGCTTAGTACAGGCAATAAATCTGAGCTCAATTTCACAATAACTAGTCTATGCCTTTATCCAAAGAACTTATGCCACGTTTTAGATGTCTCTACCTCACACAGGGTCCTAGAAACTAAAACCACATTCCTACTTCCTATCAAGGAATACAGGTTGGAACAAAGGTGGCAGAAAACATGCAGCCATTTCCTTGATAACCATTTTATGTCTGGCTTCATGTGTGAGAAAGTCTGAGCACTAAGAATGTTCTCTGACATTTTAGACCAGACAGTCTAGCTTGATGACAAATAAAACCTTTGTACTAAGGTATATTAAAAGTTTTTCAAACAACATCTTAAGTGTTTAAATGACAGAAGCATGAGATGAAAGATGACAACTCCCCAGACAACAACAACAAATATTTTTCTTTCTAACAGAATTAGGTTAAAAAAAAAATCCCTCAGCACGACAGAAGCAAGGATTTCATTCTTTACAAAATGGCAAAGTCCTATATGGAATTTCAATATATATAATCAGTATATCTACAGTGTATGCTCTGACAGCTTACATTACTGTAGCAACTCAGGAAATAATTAGGGTTCCTTCACTTAACCAATTAAAAAACAATGCAGGATTTAAAGGACTAGCTAGCAAGTCAGGGGAGAAAGGCTGGAAACTTGTTGCATATAAGACTTATACAAGCTTTCTTTAGAAACTACCATAGGTCCTAGTCTTGCTTAGCAATTTTTGTATTATAGTATTTACATCCCTTACCTTTATTCAAAATGATCCCTGTTATGAGCTTTTCCTGGTTTTGAAAATGATAGCATTAGACTATTTCAAATGAGAAAAAAACACCTTGAGACTGAAACCTGGGTAATTTAAATCCTGAAAAAGAATATAACATTTTCTGACTGGGAAACAACAAAGAAAAATAAAGCTATTTCCTTTCAGAATACATACTTATTTAATAGGAACTCTTATGAAACACTGATTCATGTTTCACTGATTCATATGCAAAATAAATCAAGAAATAAATTTTAAAGTTAAAAATTTAACAGCTTTGAAATATTTGAATATGTGATAAAAAAAAAAAAGGACAATATCTCCAAATTTCTTCTTTGTTCAAATATATAGCAGTGAGCATACAAAAAGTATGCAAAGCACAATTACTTAAAGCAAGGAATTTTCACTGTGTTTAGAGAACTTCTTTATTGGTAAATGTTTGGCATCACCAAGTCAAACATAGCCTATGTCCAAAAAAAATCCCTCCCTATTGTTCTTCTGCATTCTATTCCTGTTACATCGACCTAATATTTGTGACAAATTAACTCTGCCCTGCAGGCCAGTGAATTTCTATTAACGACTTCCTATGGAAGAAAGCAAAAAATCACACAGTCAAGAACTCTACCCATCAGACAAAGCAAGCTGTCATTCTGCTTAACTTCTACAACAGATGTCCTCAGACCCACATGAGAGAAAAGAAACACCATTTGGCATTTAAACTCTAGGTGCCAGTGTGCATTAAAGCAGCGAACAAGCCTGGATTGATTACCCCGATTTTAAAAGGTCAAGAATCGCTAAGGTTTTTTTGTTTGTTTTAATGCATATTTAGTTGATTTACAAGGCAATTGTTTTAAATTGTAAATTATAACCCTGTATAATGGGTACTGCTTAATTAGATTTTAACTATATGCTAATCTGAAAGTGGGTTATTTTTTTTTCATGCTTTCTCAAAGTCTGCTAATAAAGACTGCATATCCCATGAAGTACTAAATTATATCAATATAACTAACATTTATAATTGAGTATATCTTTTTACTCTTAAATGCAGAGCTTCAACAAACTATGAACATTTTGAAACATTTAAATTTAATTTGAAAATGCCATTCCTGTTTCCTTCATATGACCTTATACCAACTATTTTCCAAATGGACATAGAGAAGGGAGAAATAGACACAGAGAAAAGCATAACTACAGTAAAATAAGCAGACAAACACAGAAAGACTTTGTCTGTGCTCTCTGTTTTCAATATGATTTTTTTTTTAATCTAAAATCTAAGTCTAGCTTAGTCTTAAAATCAGCCTGAAGATCTTCTAGAATTAACCATAAAGTCTGATTCACCTTCATTTTACTCACGTTTTGTTCAAAGATTCGCAACAACCTATGTTGTCTTTACTTCTTTAACAGCCTATTTCATTTTTAATCCTAATACGTTTACCACAGTGATGACCAAGGAGGAACAGATAGCTCATCGGTATAATCATTGGAAAAATAACTGCAGCGTATTTTGTTTTATCGGTTACGATCTCAACTTTGAAAAATAAAACTATGTTTTCAAAAGCACTTCTCAAAGAAAATAAGCACTCTTCAGGCAGCAATGTCAAATTTAAGTCACTAGAGCCTTAAGTCACTAGAGCCTTATGCATAGATCCTTATGCAATAATACTTTAACTAGGACATTTCTAGCATCATCAGCTGGTCAAGAGAAGTGATTCTGCCTTCCTCTCTACCCAGCACTGTTGAGTCTGCACCTGGAGCACTGTGTCCGGTTCTAGGTCCACCATTACAAGAGTCATGAACATACTGGAAAGAGTCCAAGAGAGGACCACCAAGGGACTGGAGCACCTCTCCTGTGATGAGAGGCTGTGAGATGGGGCTGTTCAGCCTCAGAGGAGGCTCAGGGAGATCTCATTAATGTCTATAAATATCTGAAGGGGGGGTGAAAAGAAGATGGAGCCAGGCGCTTGTCAGTGGTGCCCACTGCGAGGACAAGAGGCAATGGGCACAAACTGGAATACAAGAGTTTCTGTCTGAACATCACGAAAAACTTCTTTACAGTCATGGAGCACTGAAAAAGGTTGCCCAGAGAGGCTGTCGAGTCTCCCTCCTTGAAGACCTTCAAAAGCCACCTGGACGTGGTCCTTGGCAACCTGATCTAGGGGACCCTGCTTGAAGCAGAGAGGTTGAATCAGATGACTGCTAGAAGTTCCTTCCAACTGCAGCCATTCTGTGGTTCTAT